TGTCACAGCTCACAGCAACCTCAAACTCTTGGGCTTAAGCAATTCTCTTGCCTCAGCCTCCCAAGTAGCTGGGACTATAGGTGCCTGCCACAACACCCAACTATTTTTTGTTGCAGTTGTCATTGTTCTTTAGCTGGCCCAGGATGGGTTTGAACCCACCACCTCTGGTGTATGTGGCTGGCATAGTAACCACTGTGCTACAGGTGCCAGAGCTGAGTATTATAATTTTAATACAGTTGTTTCCTTTCTTAAAATAGGTGCACATTTTTTGGCACCCTCTTGACAGAGATTTACATCGGAATTCTCACTTTACCACTCTTATCTAATGCCACTTCTTAAAGAGGACCCAAGCCAGGTCCCATTTGTAGCAGGTCTCTGGGATATTTTCCATGGAAGCTGTTTTCTCTCCATTTTTCTGCTCAGCCTGGATTAGCCAGTGCCCCTCTCAGCCAGGGAGGCACGAGTGTGCACACCTGCAGCTCTTGATGTGTTGTGCTGACAGAGGAAGTAGCTACACGGGAGCCTGACACCCTGCATTGTATCCTCCGGGTGTACCTAATTCGATGGGAGGGCTCCTTTGTCTCAAAAGAAGCAAAAAGAAGCCATTGTGCTGCCTGCCTCATGGACCAGTGATGAGGGCAGAGGACACTTGCCAGGACCGTCCATGATACTTGCCTGCTGAACAGGAAGGGGAGGGAAATTCCTCTCACATGCCAGTCTCTCTCTTAGCCTGGCTTCAGCTAAAACGTTTAACACAAAACTAATAGATGAAGAGTCAGTATAAAAGCAGTCTCCAAATTACAAACATCTGATTTGCAGATAACTCCCACTTAAGAACAGAGGCTATTACAGTGAGTCCCCAAGTTCAAACATCAGAATGGCATACGATTGGCACTCAAGAGCAGAAGCTATTACAGGTAACAGGTAAATGTACCTGTTCCAACTTACATGCAAATTAAACAAGAACAAACCTATGAACCTTTCTTGTTCATAACCTGGAGACGGCCATCTCCAAAGCATGTTAGAAAGCATCTCCAAAGCATTTTGTGTGTATGTGTGGGTAGCTGTTAAGCATGTTCATTGTGAATAATGAAAGCAGTAGGAAAAAAATACAAAGAAGTAGAAAATCACCTCCAAAATCACACATCCAGAAATAACCATCGTTACCATAAGGGGACTGTCATCATTCCAGATACTGCAAAACATAGACATATTGATACACAGATATGTTAAATGGCATACAGATATGCTAAGTGCCATCATATGGTAAATGCTAGTTTTAATTTAGAAGTACACTTCAGCAGAAGAAAAATTGAAATTAACCTTAAAGAGAGGCTGAACATTAGATATTTACTCACCTACGAGATATTTCATGTTATAGATTTCTTTAAAGTTAAAATTTCTACATAAAATCACATCTGAATGCACTGTGCTTAACCTTAAATGCTTTAGTCAATATCACTGACTTTTTATTATTGAAAAAGGAAATTAGCTTTTTTATTATGCAACAGACTCTCCCTTCCCTCCTATATTTTTACATAGCTATTATTTGTTTGTCATTAAAATTTAGAACATTTTCATTCCACTCATAACTCTCATTTGCAAAGGGCCGAATATAATTTTATATTTAAATAGAATAAATTTATTTAATTAATTCTTTCAGGTTAGGTTTTTCTATAATTGAGCCTTTATTTTGAGTCATCCCTTGATTTCTTCACTGCATGATGTAAAATGGTCTTGCACCTGCTGTATTGTACAATTGAGAATACCTACCTCTTTCTTTCCCTGTTGTTTTAAATTTTTCTTGTTATTAGCCAACTTTTGCTTACAAACCATCTCCTTCTCCTTTTTTCCTTCATAGCATATTTTTGTATGTGTTTCTTTTTTAATCAAACAAAAGCTTGATAATTAGGATCTACGGACAATTCAAATTTATCAACAAAAAAAGACCCAATAATCCCATATGTCAATGGGCAAGAGACATGAATAGAACCTTCTGTAAAGAAGACAGATGGTTGGCTAAGAAACTTATGAAGAAATGTTCATCATCCCTGATCATCAGAGAAATGAAAATCAAAACCACCCTGGGATATCACCTAGTCCCAGTGAGAAGGACTCACATCAAAAAGTCTCAAAGCTGCTGATGCTGGTATGGATATGAAGGGAAGGGAATACTTTTATACTGCTGATGAGACTGCAAACTAATACAACCTTTTTGGAAAGAAGAATGGAGAATCTTCAAAGAACTCAAATTAGACCTCCCATTTGATCCTGCAATCCCATTAAAAATCCTTTTATTATAGCAGTACCTGTGGCTCAGAGGAGTAGGGCACTGGCCCCATATATCAGAGGTGGTGGGTTCAAACCCCGCCCCAGAAAAAAAACTGGAAAAAAAATCCTTTTATTCTAAGGACATTTGCACTAGACTGTTTATTATAGCTCAATTTATAATTACCAAAATGTGGAAACAACCTAAACGCCCATCAACCCAGGAATGGATTAACAAGCTATGGTATATGAATACCATGGAATACTATTCAGCCATTAAAAGAGATGGAAACTTTCTTATTCTTCTTAGTAAAGCATCACAAGAACGGAGAAGCAAGAATCCAATGTACTCTATTCTAATGTGAAGGCAGTAGATGAGCTAATATGTGTGGGAGTGTAGGAGAATGAGGAGTGGGGATAAGGGAGGAGGGACGAGGATGGGGGGTCATGGTGTATGGCCCACTTCTTTAGGGCAGGACACAATTATAAGAGGGCCTTTATCTAACAAATGCAATTACAAATGCACTGTAATCTAATTCTTTGTACCCTTGATAAATCCCGAATAATAATAAAAAAAATTATGGAAAGACAAAGAAAAAAGAAATTATACCTGCTGTAATATATATCAAAAGAGTACTTCTTGGCTCCTTTCCCACCTTATATGAGACCTATTTGTTTTTCCTTTAAAATGGTGTTTTGAAGGTGAGTATTGCATTCTGGTCCACCATGTTGAAATGAGAAGTTAGAGGA